GCCAAAGACTCGCCAAAACGGCTGCGGAAACCTATGAAATGCTAAAGCAAGGATTTGGGGAGTCCGCAATGGGTCGTGCACCAACTTTTGTGTGGCATTCACGTTTTAAAAATGGCCGAACCTCTGTCGATGATGACGAGCGTTCTGGACGACCATCTTCGAGCACAACGCCCGAAAATGTTACGAAGATCGACGTCGTACCATCAACGACTTGTGCGACATTGTTGGGATAGGCTATGGGACCTGTCAGCTGATTCTAAAGGAAGAACTCCACATGCGACGCCAAGGCTCCTGTCTGAGGACCAGAAGCAGAATCGACTTCTCGTTTGTCAGGAGCTCAAAGATCTTGCAAGAACCGACCCCAACTTCCTTTCTAAGGTTTCCTCTTCCCAAAGATGAAAATGCAGCTAAAGGGAAGGAGATTTGAGGCGATAGAAGAGATTCAGGCAGAATCGCAGATGGTGCTTGACAGGCTGGCAAAGAAAGATTTCCAGGGATGCTTCTAGGCTTGGCAGCGGCGCTGGGATCGTTGTGTTCACTCCCAGGGGAACTACTTCGAGGGTGATGGATGAATTTAATACCTGAGATAAGTGTACGGGTTTTTATACGCGCAGTCTGGAAACCTTTCGATCGCACCTCGTATGATTGATTTAAATATTACAACATGGAAGAGATAATTGATCTTTTCAGATCAGAACTTCAACTGTTAAGTGACAGAATTTACTCATCATTCTTAAATAAGAGATACCATTTATAAGTACTTCATATTTGTATTGTGGTGAATATAAACATTATAATGTGATATATTTGTAATCTGTGTAGAATTCTATTAGATTTTTTATCCATACATCAGTTATGTAGAAGAAAATGTAATTTACTGAAAATACAGAGAAGATTAAATTTCAGATTGAAATAATGTGCTCGTTAACATAAATTATATTCAGTAACAATAAATCCATCCCAGTTTACAAAGGAACAAAAACTAGTTATATGAGATTTGAGGTTCTCAAGGTGGGGAAATGTTTGTTATTTTCTGAATTGTGACACCATGTATACTTGTAGATGGTTACCAACATTTTGGAGGAAATTATCACCTCCATCTTCAAGATAGATTATGTTTATAAAATATTTGGGTTTTTTTGAAGTTCCCTTATTTATTTTTGTCCGTACCTTTGTCCCTTTCATTCGTTTGCCTCATGTTAGTTCAGAAGCCTGCTTCAAACTTGTAATTCTTTCTTGGCTTCCAAAGGATACCAGTGCTATGTTGAAGGTCAAGAGGCATCCCTAGATCTAGGCTAAATGTGTCCCACAATTTGGTGCCATTACTGATAAAATAAATTACCAAGGATGAAGACAAAACAGATTCCAAGCTGTGGTCATTGAGAATTTCTGAGCCTTCATGTAAGAGTTTCTTCAGAACTATGAAGGCTTGAATTTTCCTGAAATTACAGAGCTTAAACGAGTGGACACATGAAAACAGTGAATTTCATAGTTCAGTAATACTGAAGTGTAAGTAGCAATACAAGGGAAATAAAACATACAATTTTTGAAAAAAATTGTTTATTAAATCCAGCTGAGAAACTCACATGTACAAGTTACGTAGCTTTTTTTTGCTATATTTTCAAATTCTGTGCTTGGAGCTAAGCATTTAATTCTGTTAAGAACATAGACAATTAACATTTAATACATGAATATGAATACAGTTTTAAAGATAATATTCTTGTACACACGACATTTGTAATAGCAATCTTGACTAAAATATATATTAAAAGTTACAGTCACTCACAATTATAATAATAAAATAATATTAAAAGATTTAAAACATCATTTAAATACACTACTAGTTTCGGCTACATTCAGCCATCGACGGGTGTATGCTGTATAAACCTATCACCATTTTACTGATTTATAACGTTATTCATATTTCACTGT